ATGACACATACTTGGGATGGTTATAGTCCGAACTAAGTGGTATAATTATAGTCTATACAGACTATAATTATACCACTCTTCTAATTTAGGGTTTACCAATTTGTGTGCTATCCTATCATAGAGCACTTTTGACACTAGAGTCAGTGCTGAACCAGTATCAACTAGTGCAACAACTTCCTCTCCATCACTATTGATTTGCAATAGAGTGGTCCCAAATCATCAGTTGCTCCATAATGATGTGTAGCATTTGAGGGTCTTATCAGTTTGGAGGACCCTTTATGGGCGTCCCGTCCCTTTTCCTGAACCTGGGGTATCTATATCTTTTCTTTTCTTTGCCCAACAATCTGCTTGTACATGTCCAAAGCCTTTACAATTGTAGCATTGTATTTGTCTTTTATTTCTGAACCAACAATTTTTCATACATTCGCTTCTGAATCACTGTTATTGGATCAGTCGTTAATTCAACTTTTTTAGTTAATTCCGTGACTTGAGCTAATAATTCGGTTACCATTGGATTGTACTCTTCTTGCATTAGATATGTAGTGTGGCTGTTTCCAGTGTGTACGCGTTTACCCACAGCTATCACGTCAATAGACTGTGGATTCTGTGCACATACTAACCCTTGGATGCTTGGATCTAACCCGTTTATGAATTGATTTCGCCAGGTATGTCTCCTCCGGTAGCATTCCAAACGCGTTCCATATAGTTCGTGTATTGACCTACCGTTTCTCCGCGTTGTTGTTTCCTCTTCCACATTTGGTTTATTGCTTGGTCTTTTTCTTCCACTCCATCAAAATGGTTCAAGAATGGCTTTAAAATTTCGATTGGCTGCCTGTCCAGCCGGCTTGATTTGCAAACCAATCGACAAAGTGCAGCCGCAGTATTAATCTTTATTGGCGCGGTTTGTACATTGTTTGCCGCGAATGCGATTTATTTGCCTGATCCAAGCAGCGGGTCTGGTGCCATTGAATACTGGGTAATCTGCGTTTTTCGCCATTAGTAAATTTATTAGTTGATTCTGTTCTTCTGAGCTTTCAGAATCCGCATCTGAATCTGAATCGACTGATTCGTCGTTTATTGTTTCCTTTTCTGGCTGGAAGTATTGTTCGTCGATAAGATCGGTATGTGTTTCATCTGCTTTTTCTGCTTCGTTACTGGCTACTTTGTCAGCCGAATCGTCTGGGCTAATAGGGTTTTGATTTTGTTTTTGAACTGGTATTGGAGAATCCGAATCTGATGGGTCTATAGAGTCTCATGTTTGGATTGTTAGACTGTCTGCTCTTTGTCCTTTCCCTTTTAATGGTGATTCTTGATCTGGTTTTTTAAGTAACTGGTTGATAAGCGGTAATTTTAATAAACTTCCCGCTTGTTGTTGGAGATCGTCTACTCTGGCTAATTCTTGATTAAGAGGCTGGAAATAAACTATGGAATGGTGATGGTTAAATCTGCTGTTGTTGAAATTCAAGTACTGTTTCAACTTCGGTTTCATATCTATCTTTTTGTTTCTCTGTTAATTCGGCAATTTGCCCACTCGTGCCGTCAAAGTGCTGATGTGGCGAGAGTTCTGGTATTTTCCAAAATGTGAGACTTTGCGGGAATATTATCTGTACTGTGATTTGGCCTGTCGTTATAAAATCGCTTTGGTTAAATCCGAATATGGTTATGTTTGGATCGAATTTTGTGACTTTGTGGCGGAACTTCTGGTAAAATATATATTCCGGGGGGATCGCAAATAGGACAACTGTCATCATGGAATGGTACTAAAGTGGACGTGTCAGTGTTGGATTGATAATTTGCGCCTTTTGATTAAGAGTTGTTGGGATGTACTTCTTGTCTCAGGTCTCTTACTTGAGCTCGCGCTCATTCACTTTTGTTTAATTAGTTTGTTCTTTCTTTCTTTCTTTGGATCCTTTTCAATGGATCCACGGAATCCCCACCAAGTTGTTATGGTCGGGAATTAATTTGGGGGTTTGGGAGAGCGATTTATCTTTCACGTAGCCGACCGGGGGGCTTAGCTCGTACTATCGCCCTTACTACGATAGTTGTGCAATTAAAGCCTCAAGTGAACTATTTTAATTATGCGCGCTTCTCACTCCCTATCCGAGTTTCAATTACTCGTGAATACAAATAAGGGTACCTCTAATAGAATAATAATAACAATTATTCTATTAAAGAATCGAAGGGGAATAATACTATTTTAAAAATTAAACAGGGCTATCTTCGATTTGTTTGTCGACTAGTCGGTATTCGTCACTTGTCTAATTAAACAATAATTGTCTCGATAATTAATTATGAACTCTCGTTCCGTTATTCACATAATTGATCAGCGGACAGCTTACTAGCATGATCAATCAATGCTATTTTGTTACAGCTTAAGTGAGCCGTTTATTGGAGTGTCCGGCCTAATAATCAATTATTTCGACGATAGAAAATAAATCGTATATTTATAATAAAGGATTTCGGGAGAATATTACTAAGATCGGTAATATTTTATTTATTCAATTTTCGATGTTTTCACAACACATAACATTACAACATGAAGATTTGGCATGAGCTACTTATATATCTTAGAGCGTTGCAGAAAAGCGCACGCTCTTTTAGCTATTTCTAGAAGAGCAGTTAATTATAGGTTAATTATAGCATTTTGTGCTGTTGCGGATTTTTCGCAATATTTTCCTAATACTAATGTAACATGCGCCGTTGCGGATTTTCCGGAACGCTAAATTAATACTATTTGTGAAACTGTCAATCATGGGGACAATCCTTTCATGTCTTCTACCCTGATTACTGGTTTGTTTGGCATCAATGGACAATATTTCTGCTTCTAATAAACAAGCATACTTTTTCGGGAGAGTAACCTCTGCTTCAAACGTATTTGGTAAATTGTTGAATAAAAATTCTTTTGATTCTCTTCGATCTTTGTTCTCAGCCATAAAATCAATTGTCTGATTGTCACTGCAAGTTCTATAGAAATTGGTTTCTGTTGTTGACTCCCAGTGTATGCAATAGTATTTCCATCCACCTTATCAAAGAATAAAAGAACAATTTATAGTCTATAATCAGCTTCTCTAATATAAAAAGCTCATAACATACTATAAATTGATACAAACCCATCTGTCTCATGAAGAGCAAATAATGCAGACACCTATTGCTTGGTAATGATCTTGGACTCAGCCACAACCTCAGTCCTGGCAAATAGTGATGGACTATGAGTACATGTTCCAGAGTTTTGATTCTGACTGTTCTGTTCCAGATGACAAATACAAAAGAAGCCATTGATATAGTAATAGTCCTCTCAAGGTTTTATTAATGTGCTCCTGAATGTTCTTTTCAAGGTATCGTAATTTGTGTTAAATTTCTGTGCATCAACACTACTTTGCAGATGGGATGCTGAAGGTTCTCCTGTGAAACCAGAGTGAAATAAAAAACAAACCAAGCTAGTCAGCATCACAAATAGTATCTCAAGGTTTCATTCAAAAAAAGGCCTCTGTTCTCCTCTATTACTATGTAGCCAGTTTTGCTATGTTCAGCTCTGTCTTCCTCCCAATGCATTCCAACTATTCCCTAACACATACCTACTTTCCTACTCAACTGTTTCTTTTGATATGCTTAAAATTCAACTTTCTCCATTTTATAATATATTTCCATCTTAGAAAACCTTAAGCTTGCTTTCAGACAACAAATAGTCATTATTACATGGCTACTCTACAAACCCCTGTATGTTGCTCCTCTATTGACTCATAATATCTCCCTTGAGTTCTCTTTGAAATGAGTTCATGTCCTGCTACTATTCTGCTCTGTCCCAACTGTTGTGTTTATAACTTTCGAATCATCCTCCCAATGTGTATTCATTGCTTGCTTACCTTGTTCTAAGTATGCATCAATAATCTCTTTATCTGTAGCATTTCGCTTATTTCTTACGAATTGAGCCAAAAACGAATCAGGAACATCGTTCAGGGTAAGGGGCGCGTCCATGTTGTCAAGTTCTGAGAAGAATGTTGTTGCGCTTTTATATCTGCAGCGTATTATGAGGCTATCACGTTGTCGATGTCTCAGCTTAATATTAACGCAAAACAGGAAATAGTAAGCCTTTAGCGAAGGGACAACGAGTTATATCAACTCATGCACAGAAGAAAGAAATATGTACTTTACTTTCTCAAAAGCCTGCTCCAAACCAAACTAGGGAAAGTGAGCCTTTATGAAGGGCAAAGAGTTATATTAACTTATGCACAGAAGAAAAAGATCTGTACTTTGCTTTCTCAAAAACTTGCTCCGACACAGACTGCTGTTGCGTATTAATACAGAATTAAGTAAGACGCTGTCTTAGTTATATGGAATAAGCGAGACAAGTGGTTGGCTACTAATGACATTGAATTTTCATCAAAAAAAGAAAAAGAGAACGTAAACCGCAGTACCCTGAGATTGAACAATATGGTTTGGCAAGGCACACTTGTTAAACTTCGGAGTTTGAGAAGTAATTGGAGTAAGGGAGATAGTTTGGATTTAGTGGCGGTTACGAAGACAACAATTGGTTCTGTTCATATAATCTACAATCGTTGATTTAGTGATTCAAAACACTTTTCGAATAAACTTGTAGTTCACGAGTTTTACGTGTATTCAAAGATTTCCCAATTAAATACGAAATGCTTCCATATGATTGAGTTAACAGCACGTTTACTGTTAGCTGTCTTTGCCAGTGTAAATATCGAGAACCTAAAGTTTATGAAACTGGTAGTGAATTTGATGCTGAATAAAATGCGTAGCAACATTCAAGCTGAGCGGTGCTTCATTGCAATTTCAGCACCAGCCGGATGATGCGTGCTTCCCGAAATTGTAAACCAGTTCTTTTCCAAATGACCCGTGCAGTCTCGGCCAATGAAGCGAGATTATCTTACTCAACTCTTCACCGTGATGGCCTTTTTTGGACATTGGAAAATGTCAACCTCGATAATTCGGCCAAATGTCTTCAGCCCCCTTTTTTCACTATTTAAAAATATTCGATAAGTCGGCCAATCTATATAATTTTTCGATAAGCTGTAAGTCGGCCAACTGGTCATAGTTGTATATTAATATACCTCGATAAGTCGGTCTCATGTTCTTTCTATTGGTTAAGAACGATGTGTTACAGCAACAACGATTTATATCTATTACTATTACCGGTGTGAAATAAGAAATGACTTTAACATAGATTGTTCCTTGGTATTAAAAATAAGAGACTTACAAAATCAAATAAGAAGAAACAAATTAATTCAATGAAACAAACTACTCTAGATAGTTTAATTATATTATATTCGGTTGGGTCACGTGTTCTCGATAAGTCGGTCCTCGCGATAAGTCGGTCAAAAAACCCAGCCCACCTGGCCGACATATCGAGATTGACTTGTAATTAGTAAAGAGTCTCTGCAACGACTAATAAACAAAAGAATTAATTCAGATCATGTATAACAAGCGATCACATAACAAAAAGATAAACTATTCTCTTCACCTTTATTAGTTGTTGTTCTAACAATAGTTCTATTCTTGTGTTTCGGATGTCAAACCCGTCATAACGGACTATAAACATACCGATTATGAAGCACTAGTGATATAAACATCTTGAACGCAATTTTACTGTTAGACCCCATTATACGTACGTGTACACCTTGTGATGTAACACACTAAACGTTGAGAATGATTGTACTTGGAAACTTAACTTCTTATTCAAATTATGTCGTTAGCATCAGGGGTTGTTAATAATCCAGCGGTTGACAACTTGGTTCAATCCTCCTTGGAAAGTGAATATAAACTCAAATGGATTCCTTGCTCGCAAATCACCGACATAAAGCCAACTCAAATTGACAACATCTACTGCGCTACTCGCAAAGACAACGGTAGAGTCGTTGAAAGCATGATAATACTGGTATTCCTTGGAAACAGCGAAGAATGTACACAAACACGTGTGAGTGAGTTTGCTAGAATATACTTACTTCCAACACACGAGTACAACGATGATGTCAGTCAATTTAGACGATATTCCACATGGCTTGAATATCGCAACAGACTAATAAAGGGTTTTACCAAGTATGACGACGATTACTACATGGTTGCTGATAGAAAGTTTTACGATTGTTATTCTCGATATGGATTCTGCTCCGCATGTGGAATACTCCGATGTAGTCCCATGTGGTGCATTTGCGGGCATAAACAATTATCCAATGGATGGACTAGCAACAATAAGCAACTCGACGAGTTTATTAAGAAATCTCAATTACGAACAAACTCAGCAAATCATGTCTATTTGGAATGGATTCCATTTGATTGTATTGCTGATAGGAGAGAATGTGGATATATGCACTTACATGGTCTACCTACTGATCAACGTGTTAAATTGATTCCATTTGAGATAACAAACGAGACAAATGATTTGTATTATGCCGAGGTAAACCATTTACTTATTATTATTCGTCATGTTTATTGAATAGTTTAAACAATTATTATTGACTTATTGTTATCCAATAGTTATGTGATGAGCATCCAGATATTCTTACCATGGATGTTTGGGTTACCATCGGATTCACATATGATGATGCAAGTAAACAAAAGTATTGTCTAATAAAAGAATATTATAATTATGGGCATGGATTATGTCTGGCATGTGCAAAGCAACTCAGACCTGAGATAAATGCATTCTGTTATCGGTGTAAAGCACCAAGACCTCTTGATTGGACTACGGGCAACAAGTCACTGGATTCATTTATTATGGAGTCGTGGAGTAATATGAAGAATGAATATGATGCGTATATACAATGGATTGAATACTCTCTATTGATAAACATGCAAGAGATGACATCATTACGCCACGGGTGCACACATATAGCAGAATGTTTAGTACCGACAACAAATAAATTGACACGTGTGACACTCAAAAATATAGGTGACGAAGGGTTATTTGATTTTCATCAGGTAAATTATTTCACGTGTAAAATGCAATTGATAAGTGCGTATCGTAAATTTAACATCGATTATTGTTCAAATAGTTAACTAAGGAATACCCCGAAATATTAACGCCAGATAATATTTGGATAATTGGAATCACTCAGAAGCCATCTACTCGGAAATATTATTTAGTTTGCTACCATGAAATACGTCAGATATTGGACAGTTTTATACAAATTAACGAAGATGAAGATGTTTACATGCAGTATAGCGACTTTGATGAAATTAAAGAGATCGGAGCTGGTGGTTACGGAGCAGTTTATACTGCCAGATATAAAAGGTATTCAGAAGTAAGGTCTATGCGAGAAATTATTGTGCTCAAACGGTTTAAGAGTTTTGACGAAACACCGGAATTATTTATTTCCGAGGTAAGCAATGATTGGTAGTATTAATTAAAGTATATTTAATCTGACCCAGTATTTATTTTATTTAATAGTTCAGAAATCATGCCAAGTGTTTGGATGGTTTTTTCCTTAACATTTATGGATACACACAAGACCCAGAAACAAAAGAGTACATAATTGTTATGCAATATGCTAACAATGGTGGTCTTTTGTTTTATTTGGATCAAAATATCAACAAATTGACGTGGAGAATGAAATTAGAGTGTTTGGAGGATATCGTATATTATCTAAAAAATATCCATCGCATGGGATTAGTGCATTGTGATCTTCATGGCGGAAACATAGTTTTGCATGGTGGTGAATCATTAATATGCGATCTTGGTCTCTCACGATCAGTGAATTCACGCGAGTCAAATTCAACCATTCGAGGCGTTTTACCCTTTATTGCACCGGAAGTCTTCCATACCTGCAAATTTACTCAGAAATCAGATGTGTATTCTTTTGGTATCATTATGTATTTGATTGCTACTGGGGAACCACCATTTAGAGATAGGCAGTTCGATAGAGATTTGGTATGCGATATTATGGGCGGACTACGACCATCGATGCCTGATTCCGCACCAGAGGAATACAAGAAACTTGCCGAACAGTGTTGTGATGCTGCTCCTGGTAAGCGTCCAAATGCATTGACACTTTGGCATGATATTTGCAAGCTTGTTAAAGAGGTGGAGAAGGACAATTCTTATTCTGTCATTGAAGCATGGAATACTATCTATCATAATGACGTAAAACCCTTATCACGTCTCGAGAAGGAAAGTAAATATTCTAGTAAGCTCTTACCTACTAGAGATCTGCCTAAACCGAGAAACAGCTATGATTCAGTTGCAGGTATGATGACAACAGTTGATACGTTATAAAATTGAAGTCAGGTTACAATTTAACATTTTTTATCTCATTAATTTAGTGACTCAAAATTTTGAATAAACCTGTAATCTACAATTTATTTGTAACTTGCACGGGTATTTATCCCTCTTCCAATTAAATACGATTGTTTATACTTATCA